GGCCATACTTACCTGAATAGCTTGGCTCTGAATAAATGACTTTCCCTTCTGAGAATTCCAGTCATTTAGTTATAAACGACCAGTCATGTAATTATAGAAATGTTTCAAATATTGTTTTTTTTTTTTTTAGTTTTAAGGAGCAGAGAGAGTTTAATAGGCAAGAAGAGGCAAGGAGGAAGGGAGAAGGAAGAAGCTCCCCTGTACAGAGACAGAGGGAGGGGGGTGCTCCGAAGCCAAAAGAGGGAACCCCACCTGCCACCGATACCAGCTAGGTATATATACAGCGGCTGGAGGAGGCAGTGTCTGATTTGCACAAGGCTCAGGGGATTGATCTGACTAGGCACGTCATTCACCTAGCCCGAGGGAAAAGCTGGCCCTCCCACCCTAGCCTTTTAATATGCAAATGCAGGACACCATGATGTTCCACACAGGTGGGGATACTTCGGAATGGCCATGTATCCAGGAACGTGGGGAAAGGGCAAGAAGGCCACCGGAATCGCCATGTTTGGCTGGACCCAGTTTCTAATGGCTGACGTTTGGATATCGGGTTACTGGCCTGGCTTTAAGAGCTGGGGCTTTACAGGAAACTTTTCCAGACAAGCTTTAAAGAAAAACTTCCTAAGGACCCCTTTTCCCCTCTGTCTGCCTAAAATAATTTATTAGTAACTCCTACAACATTCCCCACTGTGGAGATGCCACACTAACTGCTCTTAGGGGTTTGGGTGACGACGCCTTCTGGCTATTTCCTGCTGGAAAGGGGCGTCGAGTGGGGAACAGCAGCTAGGGCTCCTCCCGGGGTTGATCTAAGGGTCCTCGGAAAACTGGCACGTCCATGTGTGGTTCAGTTGACAGCACCATTTGGAGTTTGATTGCTGTGAGTTGGGTGATCCTCTCCTCTTGAGGTCCCAAGATAATTTCCAGATTCTAGAGGAACCAGGCAGAGAAATAAACATGCTTCATATTTTGTTCATAGGAGCACACCTTACTCAATTATTAAAGGCCATAAATAGTTTAAAATAAGTTTCCTTGACTCAGTCTGATGAATGAATTTCCTTTCCCGGCCAACGCACCAAAATGATACGGCTCCGATGAGTGGGGGGGCACCGGGGTTTTTGGTCCCGTGCCGGTTTAGATACAGGGACACGGACACGTGTGGAGTGGTTTTAAGGAGCAGAGAGTTCAATAGGCAAGAAGGGGCAAGAAGGAAAAGAAGGAAGAAGTTACCCTGTACAGAGGAGGGGGGCTCCAAAGCTGAGACAGGGAACCCCTCAAATACTAAAAAGGAAGAAATGGTGTGTTAGGCTAGCACATTTTATGGAAAGCCATGTCTTAATTAAATGTTTTCCCTACAAATGTTCTCTGTATCAAGAAACCTGGCACATAGGGAATGCATGAAACCTGATTTGTAATTAGGTTGAGTCTACTTAAGTAATAACCTACATCTGGAAGGTACAATGTCAACTGTGCTACTTTAGCCGTCATCACGTACCCAGTGTTTCTATCGTTAGTGACACAGCTGGGCCAGAGGTGAGGCCTGCGTTCACGCATGCAGATTATTTTACTGTAAAAAAGAACACTGTGTTTTGAACTTTAATTGCACAAATAGACATAGCAGTGACATTCTCTTCTAGTAACTGCCCATTATTCCTCACATATTTCCTAAGATAGAGCTGTTAAAATTTAGATAGACATTAGATAGACAATAAAAATATTTCAGTGTACAGTTGAAACTATAACGATATCGGTGGTGTTCTCAACTACCCCAGGTCTAGTTAAGGGCTTTCAAGTATGTGTTTGGACCAAGTATTTTCATGTCGACCATCTAGATAACCCTTGGTCTGTTTGCCACCCCATGTACTTTCTGGTGGGGTGATCACATCTGCACCTCTAGTCCCCAGGCTATCCCTGAGCTCTCTGTCCTCACTGCCTCCACATGGAGCATCCCCTTCCACCTCACACTTGTCAGGGGTTGTGTCTCCACACCACCCTGCTCCTCCTGGATTCCAGCTCAGTCTGTCCTTCCTGTTCTGTTGGTTTCCCTGGTTCAGAGCCCTGGGTCCTCTCATGTTCATCTCCCAGAGTCTCTTCCAGCCTTACTCTACCCGCCAGACCACTTCTTGATCAGCATACATTGTGCATTTCCCCATGTTTGTGCCTTTCCTGTATTGTCTCCTCTACCTAAAAGGCCCAATCTGTTAAGTTTCTGCTCAATCCCATCTCCTCCACAAACCTTCTGAATCTCTTCACTGGAATTCATCTTTCTCTTCTGTTCTCCACACTGACTGCCCTTTGTATGCTATTAGCATCCACAATTTACTTTTTCTCAAGATTTCATGTTAAAATTTTTCAAATATTCAGAACAGTTGAATGAATAGTACAACACTCATATACTTGCCGTTTAGTAAACATGTTCCTATATTTACATCTCTTCATCTCCCTATCTGGCCTTATATTTTTATTCATTTCAAGTAGCAGACATCAGTACATTTTACACCTAGATTCTTTTGCATACATAGCATTAGAGTTCAATAGTTGCTTACTGTATTAGGTAAACTTTTCATACAGTGAAATGCACAATCTCAAATGTACCTTTCAATGAATTTTGATGCGTATACACACCTTTATAACTCAAATCACTATCTAGATGTCGAACATTACCATCACACCAGAGGCCCTCCTGCCCCTTCTCAGTTGATTCTAATATCCACTCCCAAAAGCAACCACAGTTCTGATTTTTTTTCACCATAGATTAGTTTAACCAACTTTTTGAACTTCATATAAATGAAATCAAACAGTATGTACTGCTCCGCATAAGGTTTCTCTCACTCAGCATAATGTTTTTGAGATCCATTTGTGGTGTTGCATGTGTGAATAGTTTGTTCCTTTTTGTTGCTGAGTAATATTCCATTATATGAGTATATTGTAGTGTGTGTATTCCTATCCTAGTGATAGAAACTTGGGTTATTTCCAGCTTGGGGTTGTACAAGTTGTTTCTTTGTTGACATATGCTTTCATTTCTCTTGGATAAATACCTAGGAGTGAAATTGCTGGGTCCTAGCGTAGGTATATGTTTAGTTTCATGAGACACTGTTAGACCTTTTTTCAAAGTGATTATATCATTTTATCCTTTCACCACAAATGTATGACAATTCAGGTTGCCCACAGCCTTGTCAACATTTGGTGTAGCACGGTGGCTCACACCTGTAATCCCAGCACTTTGAGAGGCCAAAGCAAGGTAGGAGGATCGCTTGAGCCCAGAAGTTCAAGACCAGCCTGGGCAACATGACAAGACCCCATCTCTACAAGAAGTTTAAAAACTAGCAGGGCGTGGTGGCACACACCTGTGGTCCTAGCTATTCTCAAGCTGAGGCGGGAAGATCACTTGATCCTGGGAAGTCGAGGCCGCAGTGAGCCGTGGTCACACTGCTGCACTCGAACCTGGAGAACAACAGCAACAGAAATGAGCCATTCTGGTGGATGCGTCATAGTGTCTCATGGTGGGTTTGGTTTTCATTTCCCTAGTGACTAATGATGTTGAATGTCTTCTCAGTGCCTATTAGTTGTGTTATTTATTCGTGTATCATCTTCTGTGAAAAACCTAACCTTGTGAAGGTAAAATCTTTTGTCAATTTGTAATTTTTTAAAAAAGTCTTTTTACAATGGGTGAAGAAGTTCTTTATACATTCTGGATACCAGTCTTCTGTGAGATATGTTTTGTGAGTATTTTTTCCTACTCTTTCATCTGTCTACTCATTGGCTTAATGGTTTCTTTTCAAGAGACGTTTTTAATTTTGATGAAATCTAACATTTTTTCCTTTTATGGTCAGTGCTTTCTGTGTCCTAAGAAAGTATACCTACTTCACAGTCACAGAGTTACTTCATGAGATTTTTTAAGACAGTAATTTTAGTGTTTACACTTAGGTCTGTGATCATCTCAAGTTAGTTTTTATGTATGGTATGCAGTAGGAGTCCAGGTTAGCTTTCCCACATATGGATATGCAGTTCTGTCCAGCCAGCTGCTGTGCATGTGCTTCTCACTCTCATGTTGTGACTGAGCCTGCCCATCTGTATGCCCATGACCTGGCCTGATCCTTTCCACACAGCAGATGCTGCCTTCGTGTTCACTGAATTGCAATACAGGTTCAGAGAACAGTAGAGGATTCCGGCAGTCTTTTAATGCCTTGATTTTGAAAATGGCTTTACAGAATTCATCTCCCAAAGTAAATGTCAGTATATAGAGCTTGTTCAACCCTTGAGTTAGCATCTCCTGCCAAGAATGTAGGTTGAAGCAAGAAGGTTAATTGCATAAATCTTTGTTTTTTGGCTTCTTTAGAGTGAAGAAAGAGTACAAATTCAGCTTTTTATTGAATTCTTAATATATGCTAGGTATGGTGCTTCATTGCTTCTACATCTTCTTGTTTGATCCTTATAGCAACCTTGTAGGAAATTTGGGTGCCAGAGATTTTAAGTGACTTCTGCATTACACAGTTAGTAAGTTGCAAAGCTAGGAATTCTCTGGGACAGGGAAATCTGGAGGAAAGCTAATAATTTGATTCTGATATAAGACTTCTATAAAAGAATTAACATCTAATTGATTGTAAAGTGTATAGCACTTGATAGCAAAACTGGAGAGGTAACTAAACTTATTAAATTCTGAGTCATCCAAGTCGAAGATAACTAAAAATAAAATCAGTCTTCTAATATCAGTCTTTAAGGGTGTAGTCATATATGCAAAAATAATAGCCCTTAGGAAATATATTTAGGCCTAAATCTCTTAAGCTAAGGATTGATTTGTTAGTAAAAATGCATTAAAATTATAAATAGCTCCAAGGCCCACACACTGTCCATGACTTTATAAAATGTCCTTGCAGTCACGTTCTACAGCCAGAGTCTTGACTCAGAAAGCCAGCGCGCTCCTCTAGTGTGTGGATTTGAATTTGCGTCTTTGTGGTTCCCGTTGCCTCCTGGTGAACGCAGTGCTGACCTTTCTTTGCTTGCAGGTGTGCTTCAGAAGTGTCCTTCTGTTGATGACTTCGTAAGTGCCCTGGTTTCTGACTTGGATCTGGACTTCGAAACTTTCCTCATGGATTCTGAATGACAGAAACACGCTAAACCTCTTCAATCAAGGTGATGTAGATAATGACTTTGTTACGAATGCTACAGCTGTGAAAGCTTGTTTCTCATTTCAGTGTTCACTTCTGTAATAAATTCGGAAAAACTTTAAACTGAGAGAACTTGGAATAAATCATTTGTTTTAATTCTGCCGGCTTTTCACCTGTTTGGCATGTTTTTGAGCACATGGAAATCTCTGACCTAGTAACAACCATCCTTCTGCATGGCACTGTTAAACGGAGGGTGTGGGCATTTCCTGGTATAACCACTCCCCTGTCGAGCTTTTCCCCCTTCCCATGGATCTGTAATTGGTTTAATTAAATATTTAATTAAAAGCAAAATTGTTTAAGACAGAGTTGGAAGCAATATTCAGAAAGGTTACACATATAGTTCTTTTGAGAATGATGACCATTTCTTAAGACCACTATCTAAAGTAGGCTTAGAAAATACACTTTAAATAGTTACAAGCAACCGACAAACCAAGTGTGGTTTCCAAAATACATGTAATTATCTCTACTGTTTTTTCCTGAATGTTTAGGCAAATAGACTCAGAACACAGAGGACTGGCTTGGCAATGAAGGTAGAATGAGTAAGTGCACGTACAATTAATAAGTGACATACCAGTGTCAAGCAACTGGTGAATCAGGAAATGGGGGTTCAGACCATGTCTGCTTTTATCTGGAACTCATTTCCTTTACACTATTGCATACCATACTGTATTTTGGTTTGTTATTATCAGGAAATAAATTATTTAATGGGTTTTTCCCACCATTAAAGTCAAAACCTAATTATGAATTTCTGGTTTAAAAAGGCACCTGCTAACAGCCTCTTCCTGCTTCTCACCAAATGACCAGTGATGAAACAAAAGGAAAGATTCAAAATACCCAAAACTGAGACACACATTCAACCTGTCTGCAGAATCTGGAGGAATTTCTTCATGCTCAGAAACAGACGGGACTGGATGGAGAAACGTCCTCAGTGGCCGGCCTGTGCCAGGTGCACCTGGATGCAAGGGGGATCGGCCCTTCCTGCTTTCCCACCTCCTGCTCACCCTTAAAAATGCAAGTCGGTACTGACCAGAAGGCAGAGCAGCCAGTACCCCGAACGGGGCTTCACGTTTGAATGCTGCAGTGGGTCCCTCCCCGTTGCTCCCCATTGGAGCTTCTCTATACAGCAGCGCTTGGAAACTGCTGCTCACACAGCCTTGGGCAGGGAGTGGGCCTGGCAGTGGTGTCTCCTCTCTACCCAAAGCAAAACGGAGGAAGGGAGACAAGGGTTTGAGGACGGGCTCCGGTGCAGTGCCCAGGGAGGAATCTCGCTGTTTCTTGTCTCACCCTATTCACAACATCCAAGCTAACTTAAAAAGAGATCTCATCCCAACAAACTGGCAATGCACAGATGCCAGCTCATTCTGGGAAACAGACGTGGAGAAATTCACAGGTAAATCAGTTACAGGTAAATCTGAAAAGTGCTTTCATCAGCACCCA